AAATTGAAAAAAAACTAGCCTGAAGTTACAAAAACATTGAATCGATCCACCCACTTGTGTTTAGAAATCTCACCAAACTCGAATATTTGGATTTAGGAATTAGGAAAGTATTTACCAGGTGACACGTTGAAAGGTCTTTCTAATTTAAGTACATTTTATTTAGTAGAAAATTTAGTATCGGGTTACTTACTATTTATAATGTATTAATTGTTTACCGGAAATCTTTAACTTCCGGATTGTATACCAATCGAGGCTATTCCTCGACGTAATGGAGACCTTCCCCTAGCGATCGTACCGAGTAAGCGCGACTTTAAAGCTGCATTTACAAATAATACCGTTTTAAAACCTCGCAATTCTTACAATTTTTGCAGTTTCTAGACAAAGAGAAAGTTAGCAATACGGTATATATTTTAGATTTTTGGATCATTTTTATTTAACTTTGTTAATTAATTTCCAAAATATTATAGTAAGAAATATTGTAAACAAACCCACGTGTTTCTGCAATGACCTGACAGATCACGTGACGGCAGAAACCCCTGCGGCAGATGGAATGACACCATTCTATTTCCTGTGACTTTCCTATGACGTGAAGCTATCTAAGAAGTAAAAATAATTTAATATATTAAATGTTTTCCATTATATAAAAGCATTATTTCAGTAAATAAATTTATTTCTCATTGTTTAGTTATTTATTATTAATTACTATTATAATTATAAAATTCATCAAAATTATCATAATGAAAAATAAAAATAATACTTTCTAATTATTATTGTGTAATATTTAATAAGTTAAATTTTTTTCTGTAATATATAAAATATTATTTGTGTGTTTAAACGTGTTATCAATGAAAAATTTTCTGGCGCCGAAGTGTTCCGGCGATTTTAATTTCATTTTTCTTGAAAAAAATACCTTTTAGGCATAAGTAGATCACACCATCGTTTTTTTGTTTTTATTATTATTGTGTAATATTAATTTTTTCTTTATATAATCTATATGTATATATATATATATATAGATAGATAGATATATATATAAATGGACGTGTGTGTCCCTATATTTTTACTTTTTCGCCAAAATTACACATCGCTGGTGAATGGTGTTTGTATGTGGTGGTAGCCCCAAGTCCGGCGATTCGTGCATAGGGGTAGTTGCGTCTCGATAGCTATAAGGGTGCGGGAGATATGGGCTTGAAAGTGGTTGAAAGTGGCTTTCTATTTCGAATGTTTTGTTTGAATTTGTTCGAATTAAATTCGAACATAAAATTCGAATATTAGTTCGATTATAGAACGATTGTAAACGTTACAGAAACGTTGAAAATAGTTCGTTTGACTGGACGTGAACAGGAGACGTCCAGAAATAGAATCGGGACCAGGTCTCTAATTAGTCTGGTAACGGGGGACCTAATTCTTGCATTTTGTGAAAACGGGTAAGATTGGCTATAATGTAATTATCTTAATTTTCACTATCGTTACTTTTTAAAAACCCAGCAAAGCGGGTCCTTGCAGCTAGTATATAAAATATTATTTGTGGATTTAAGAGTTGTCATTTTGATATACAGATAGCGCTAATGAAAACTTACTGGGCGCCGATATGTTCCGGCGCTTTTAAAGACAAGGCATCGAAAAGGTGCCGACCCTGTGGTCACAGTATTATTTTCATCGCTGTATTTTCTATAAGCAGTGCCTGATTAATAAATATCAAAACTAACTTTGTGTTTAATCTGAAGCTTTATTTTTAATTATGTTTCTAAAAATAATTCGTAGTCAAAATTCACCACAAAAGTACACAAAATTAAGATTTGAAACAGATTTATTGAAACAAACATAATACATTTCCATAATAACAAATGCATAATAATAACAATTTATTGCAACAAATTGCTTAAATTGATGAAAGTAGATAGGCTATATTTGAATTGTCGTAATTACAGAATTCGTCAAGTATAAACATTGTAAAAAATCACTTCGTCTCGATCAGTCTTTGGCTCTTTCTTGTCATTTCTTCTTCTGCGATAATAAACGATGGAAACAACAATAATCACACCTAATAACAATAACGAAGTAAGAACAGAAACTGCAGGTTTCCATCCAAAAACAGAACTAACTTCGGCGGAAGAGACGCATTTTGTACACGAAACATTTACCGACGACGTCAAATTATCTTCTGGAATTTGTTTACAACGATCATTACAAACAATTTCGGGGAAAGACACACAAGACGAATTTCTGGCGCAGAAAACATCGCAGAAATCTACAATCTTCTTCCTGTTTTTAAGCAACCATTCTTTAGTAAACAGAGAATGAGAATTGCAACTCAAATTGTTTCTGGATAAGAAAATCTTAAATTCCGAAGAAACGTCGATCAGGTTCATTAATCCGGAAGGTAATTCGGTTAATCGGTTTCCGTCCAACCACAAGAATTTCAGGTTTAGCAAAATAACATAATCCGAAATGTTACTTATTGAGTTATTACTCAGACGCAGATGGGTGACGTTTCTCCACGTCACACAATCGACATCTGACAAGCCGTTTATGTAATTATTACTCAAATCGACAATCGTCACATTCGGAACGAGAACTTCGGGAATTCTGTCGATTCCCTTTCCGGAACAATTCACCATCACGTGATTATCTTGTGCAGAACATTCGCAATTCATCGGACAATAATTTCCTATAACTACGAGAGATGTATTATCCAGCAAGTTTCTTTCTTCTCCGTAACATTTCGTCTTCTCTATATTTGGAAACATTTTCTTTGCTAATTCTATATTTGATTTAAGGGCAAAAATAAATTGCTGCAGTTCGTTGTCACAAGTAATTTCGTTATTACTTAAATCATAAGTTGGCATTTCGAATCCATATTTCCTCTCATCCACGTAAATTGTTCTGACCTTACAATTAGACAGACGAATTTTCACGCGATTTGGTGTGTAAATTGGCAATTTGACGGCCTCAAAATGATTATTTGAGAAATCGACTCTAGTTAAGTTGTATTCTGTCCAATTTATCATTGGCCATTGTTTCAAACCCGCATTAATTAAACGGACAAAAGTTAGATGCTTGCTGCTTCCAAAAGGATGCTTACCAGAAATTTTAGTGAAATTGTTGTGAAATAGATCGAGATGCGTTAAGTTACTCAATGGAAGGAAGAGGTTTTCGTGTAGAAATGTCAGACGATTGAATGATAAATCGAGAATCTGCAATGAAGACAAATTCTGAAAAACGTCTACGGGAAGAATTTCTAAACGGTTTCTCCGCAAATTCAACCATTGAAGTTCAGAAAGTCCATGAAAAACTCCTGTTGGAATCGACGATATTTTATTACGCCAACAAGAAAATCGTGTCAGTCGTTTGTTATTTTTCAGAAGATTTAGCGGAAGATGTTCAATTTGGTTGTAAGCTAAATAGACAAGTTTCAAATTAATCAAGTCAAAAAATACATCTTCTTTGATTGAAGAAATAGAACAAGACTCTGCATTAATTTTAGTCAAGTTAAACAGTTTCTTAAAGAATCCAGACGGAATGTCTAATAATTCTCGATTGTTAGTAATAGAAAATGTCCTTAAATTGGAAAGACCTTTTAACATGTCCCTGGGTAAATCTTTTATCCGATTCCAACCTAAATCCAAATATTCCAATCGAGTGAGATTTCTAAAGACAAGTGGGTGAATCGATTCAATTTTGTTGTAACTTAAGTCCAGTTTTGTCAAACCGTAAAGGTTATAAAATAGATCTTCGGGTAAAACTGTTAACATACCGCGCTTGATGTATAATTCGGAAAGATTAATTAACTCTCGGAAAGGTTTGTTCAGAAATAAAGAGAAGTTATAGTATTCGATTCTCAATGAAGTCAGCGACGGAACATTGCGAAATGTTAAATTTAGAAGCTCCGAGGTCTTCACGCCTCGTATTTCGACAGATCGCAGAGAGGACATGTTAATAAACGAGGCGCTCTCGAAGTTTCTGTTATACTGGTTTGTTTCGTTCAATATCTGGATATTTTCGATTCCATATCCGAAAGTGAAGATTCCAAAGTCAATCTCCGACAGAAAACAATCAATAAACTTTATTTCTTGTACATTTTTAACGTCCAAACATCGCATCAAACGAAAGTCAATCGTTTTCTGGCCGCATTTGATTAATAAGGATTGACCAAATATTTCAACGGAGGAAAAGTTATTTGATTGGTGGCAGCTGTTTGCCGATGACGTACAAGAAACATTTCCCCAATGTTGCCAAAACTCTTGGCAAGAATTTACCACTAGAAATAGAAATTGCAGAAAGACAACCAACCTCATCTCGTCCGACGAAAACTCTAATTCATTCTACACGAAGAGCTGCAAAAACAGTCGAGGAAAATACACAACAGCGAAACCGCGATTTACGAATAACTTACTGTTACTACTTTCTTCTGACTGACTGAAAACACGATAAATTACTACCTCAGTGACATCGAGTCGTCATTTCCGACAGAAATATTACGTGTACGGATTTCAATTTCCTCGTTTATTTTCGTTTCTTTGAAAGGAACAATATCGGATTAACATTAAATTAATGTTTTACAGACCAAAAAATTTTTTCGCACATTTATTACATGGGAATAGTTCTTTTAAACAAATTAATTTTGTAAATAAAATATTATTTATTTTCTGTGTGCAAGACGTTTCTGGATGGTGTTAATAAATCGTGTTTGTGACCAAAACAAAAAAAACAAAAATGATTTCCCGTGTGAATGAAACTCTGACCATTTTTAATATTTAAAGCGTTTAATCGAGTTAATTAGAATACGAGATAAATGCGAAACTTTGGCAAATAATTTATATTTGAAAAATAAAAATAAATTCATTTTCGAGTAAGAAACTGAAATAAATTGAGATAGTTTGCATGTAATTAATTATCTTTACGAACGAAAGGAAGGATGTTGAAGTTTGATAATGAAATACGGAGAAACAAACTTTAAAATAAAACCGAAAACGAAAGTAGTTGAAAAGATGAGGAAATAATTGTAGTAGATGTGGTTATTTACATAAATGTTAACTATAGTTCCTATCGGTAATTACTTTTTCGACCGTTTGCGTTTAAGGAAATAAATAGATAATTCTTCTTTATGTTATGAATCTCGAAACAAATTGCGGGAGATTCCCCATTGAAAAATATTAATTGTCATCGAAATATCAACGATCTCTTGCAGAGAATACAAATTTCAATAATAATTTTTTTGAATTATAAATTGATACTTTCATTTCCCTACTTTCTGTATATAAATTATTGTTTAATTGTCGAATTTCAGTATTGACTTTGCGATTGAATTACAGCTTTATTATCTAATAATTACACATTTTATAATACTTAATCGAAATTCACTATAAATGCATATAAAAGTAACATTTATTCCAGCATCTTTGAAATAAGCAAAATTCATTTCTATAGAAAAAAAATGCAAGATAATAACAATTTTCTGGCAAGTATTGATTAAGTTAATGAAAGTAGATATATTTGAATTGTCGTAATGACAGAATTTGTCATATATAAGCATTGTAATAAATTAATTTTTCACCATCAGACTTTGGAACTTTCTCGAAATTTCCTTTCCTGCAACAATAAACAAAGTAAGCAAACACAATCCAACTGAATAACATTAGCGAAGTAAGAATAGCCACTGCGATTTTACAAAAATACAACTAACTTCGTCGGAAGACACGCATTTTGTACACGAAACATTTACTGACGACGTGAAATTATCTTCTGCAATTTGTTTGCATCGATCATTAGAAACAACTTCGGTGAAAGACAGAAAAGACGAATTTCTCGCACAGAAAACATCGGAGAAATCTGCAATCTTCTTCCTGTTTTTAAGCAGCCAGTCGTTAGTAAACAGGAAAAGCGAACTGCAACTGAAATTGTTTTTCGATAAGTAAATCTTAAATCCCGTAGAAACGTCGATCAGGTTCATTAATCCGGAAGGTAATTCGGTTAACCGATTTCCGTTCAACCACAGCCATTTCAGGTTTAGCAAAATAACATAATCCGAAATGTTACTTATTGAGTTGTTACTCAGACGCAGATGGGTGACGTTTCTCCACGTCACGCAATCGACATCTGACAAGTCGTTTATGTAATTATTACTCAAATCGACAATCTTCGCATTGGGGACGAGAACTTCGGGAATTCTGTCGATTCTCTTTTCGGAACAATTGACCATCACGTGATTATCTTGTCAGAAGAATCGCAATTCATCGGACAATAATTTCCTATGACTACGAGAGATGTATTATCCAGCAAGTTTCTTTCTTCTCCGTAACATTTCGTCTTCTCTATATTTGGAAACATTTTCTTTGCTAATTCTATATTTGGTTTAAGGGCAAACATAAATTGCTGCAGTTCGTAGTCACAAGTAATTTCGTTATTACTTAAATCATAAGTCGGCATTTGAAATCCATATTTCCTGTCATCGATGTAAATTGTTCTGATTTTACAATTAGACAGACGAATTATCATGAGATTTGGTGTGTAAATTGGCAATTTGACGGTTTCAAAACGATTATTGGAAAAATCGACTTCAGTCAAGTTGTATTCTGTCCAATTTATCATCGGCCATTGCGTCAAACCTGCATTAATTAAACGGACATAAGTTAGATGCTTACTGCTGCCGAATGAATGTTCACCAATAGTTATACTTAAATTGTTGTAAGATAGATCGAGACTCGTTAAATTAGTCAATGGGAGGAAGATGGTTTCGGGGCAAAAATGTCAGGCGATTTTCTGATAACTTAAGAGTCCGCAGTGACGACAAATTCAGAAAAACATCCTCGGTAAAATTTTCTAACCGGTTTTTCTACAAACTTAACCAACGCAGTTCGGAAAGTCCGTGAAAAATTTCTGTTGGAATCGTTGCTATTTTATTACCTTAACAGGAGAATTCTGTATGTCGTTTGTTATTTCTCAGAAGATTTGGCGGGAGTTGTTCAATTTGGTTGACACTTAAATCGACGTCTATCAAATTAATTAAATCAGAAAATACATCTTCTTCGAGTGAAGAAAAGAAACAACAACACGCATAAAATGTAGTCAAGTTGTGCAGTTTTTTAAAGAATCCGAACGGAATTTGTGATAATCTTTGGTTTCCGCTAATAGAAAATGTCCTTAAACTAGAAAGACCTTTCAACATCTCACCTGGTAAATCCTTTATTTCATTCATTCCCAAATCCAAATATTCGGGTTTGGTGAGATTTCTAAAGAGAAATGGATGAATCGATTCAATTCTATTGTGACTTATGTCAAGTTTGGTCAAACTATGAAGATTATAAAATAGATCTTCGGGTAAAACTCTTAACTTTCCTTGCGTGATGTATAATTCGGAAAGTTTAATTAACTCTCGGAAAGGTTTGTTCGGAAATAAAGTGAAGTTATATAATGTAATTCTCAATGAAGTCAGTAATGGAACATTGCGAAATGTTAAGTTTAGAATTTCCGACGTTCTCATGTTTCGTATTTCGACTGATCGCAGAGAGGACATGTTATTAAACGAGGCGCTCTCGAAGTTTCTGTTATCCTGATATGTTTCGTACAATATCCTGACGTGATCGATTTTATATCCGAAAGTGAAGATTCCAAAGTCAATCGCCGACAGATAACAATCTGTAAGTTTTATCTGTTGTACAGTACATTTTTAACATTCAAGCATCGCATGAAACGAGAGTCAGTCGTTCGGTTGCCACAATTGAGCCGTAAGGATCGATCGAATATTTCAACGGAGGAAAAGTTCTTTAATTCGTAGCAGCTGTCTCCCCATGACGTACAAGAAAAATTTCCCCAATTTTTCCAAAACTCTCGACAAGAATTTACCACTAAAAATAGAATTTGAAAAACGATAACAAACCTCATTTTCGACGAAAATTCTAATTCATTCGACACGAAGAACTACAAAAACTGTCAAGGAAAATACACAATAGCGAAACTGTGTACTTACGAATTTGATACTGTTACTACTTTCTTGCTACTGGTTGGAAACGCGATAAACTGTGACGTCGGTGACATCGATTCGTCATTTCGAACAGAAATATGACGTGTACAGTTTTTAATTTCCTCGTTTATTCCCGTTGCAGTGAGAAGAACAATATAGGATTAATGTTAGATAAATTTTTTTTACCGATGAAAACTTCGTTTTGCACATTTATTACAAGTGAATTGTTAGTTTAAACAGAAGACAGGAAAAAATAATTAAAGAGCACAGAAATGATTTCCCGTGTGTATGAAACTCCGGCCATTTGTAATATTTAAAGCGTTCAATCAAGATAATAAAAGTACAAGATAAATGCGAAATTCTGGCAAATAATTTATAAATATTTAAAAAATAAGAATAAATTAATCTTTGAGTAAAAAACTAAAATTAATTGAGCAAGTTTGCATCTAAAATTAATTAACTTTACGAACGAAATCATAAAGAAAGGATGTTGAAATTTGATAAAAGAAGATACGTAGAAACAAACTTTAAAACAAAACCGAAAACGAAAGTAGTTTAAAAGATGAGGAAATAATTGTGGTAAAGGTGGTTGTTTACAAACAAAGGGAATATCGTGTTCTGAGGATCACGGAGGTCGGGCTGATCCTAGTCAATCTCGTGTAATTGATACCGAGTTAGAATGGGAAAATTTGGATTTTGAGGTCGAGGTTATTGATAACCGGGACGAGATAGAGGTAACGAATTAGACGAGATAGAGTAGCGCTTACAAATTAGGCTAGCCGAAATAGAGTTAGAAAGAGATCGGTTACGAAGCGAATCTAGGAATAGCAATAACTCTGAGCTAGGAGCTAATTTGGATAGTCTAGTCAGGAAAACAGGTGGGCTTTACCCGAAATGACAGACAAGGAAGCGGAAGTACCGTCGTGGTTCCGTGCTGCGGAGGTTGTATTACAAACATACAACGTACCGGAAAAGCTTCGGGGAAAGTCAGTTCATCGGTACTATGCGAGAAATGCGTGACAGCCTCGAGTAGACTCGCGGCAAACGAAATCAAGGATTACGAAACTTTAAAACAATTCGTGCTAGACGAATTAAAGTTATCTGCTGCGGAGTAAATTAGAACAAATCAAAAACATTTCCTATACGACGAATGTAGAAAGAAAGCTTTCTTATTGTTCACAAAGCAGAAACAGACAAAAATAAAAATAACTGCTGTGTTCCTTAGCCTCTTTGTGTAACCCAGAGATCGTATGGTTCTAATTTCTCTGCATGTATTTCTAAAAATTTCACTTTTATTTTATTATTTTGTCAAGATTTGAAAAGGCATTCGACCTGCTCAAGAGCCAGAAGCCGGGTTCTGTTCAGTTACTCCTCAGTAAGTAACTACTTTGCCAGCTCTGGTCGACGTCCGAAATCCTACTCAATCCCGAGCCCGATTTGAAATATATTTGCGGCTCCTTACTTTTATTCGTGTCTTACTGTTTATTTATCAATTTCCCCTTGTTATAACAGAGGAAAAGTTTGGCGATTGGGAAAAAATGACCTCGTTCTATATTCTTACATTTGCGGGCTCGGGGGACCTCGAAACGCCGATAAAAGCAAGAAATTTTGGGAGCTAATTTCTGTGTTTACAGATGTGTCAGTGTGTGAGACACGCTTTTAGTTTTGTCTTGTATCAGATAGTTGTACATGAGTTTCTAATGTCTTTGAACTCGGGACCTTTTATGGGATAACGAAATCTTGTTTAAATGCAAAAGACTTTTATACGAGGTCTATTTTATCCCCATTTTATTCTCTGTTTGGAGACACGGATATTTAACAAAATCAATAAGTTTAGATTCGAGCAATGAAAATGAAACTCCTGAAGTCAATTTAATGCTACATAAAACTACAAAACCGTCAACGATCTGTTGTAGAAATTACAAATTTAATGATACTTTTTCTGAATGAAAAAATGTTACTTCCATTTTAAACTTTCTGTACAGAAAATATTGTTTAATTATCGAAGTTCACTCTTTATTTATGCTCAAGTTACGGCTTTATTATGCAATAATTATACATTTTATGATATAATTCGTAGACAAAATGTACAAAAAAATACAGAATTAATATTTCAAACATTATAATTAATCAAAGTATAAAAAATTAATTTCAATAGAAACAAATGAAAAATAATAGCAATTTGCGAAAAATTATTCGTTAAAGCGTTTAATTATGTGGAGTTTTAATAATATCATTTACAGAAATTATCAGGTGTAAACGTTATGATATATCACTTCTTCATCTTTAGTCTTCGACACTTTCTCGACACTTTCTTTTCTGCGGCAATAAGCAAAGAAAGCAACAATAATCACACCTAATAACATTAGCGAAGTAAAAACAGACACTGCGATTTTCCATTTAAGCACAGAACTAACTTCGTCGGAAGGCACATCTATTGACGACGTCAAATTATCGTTTCGAATTTGTTTACATCGATCATTAGAAAGAATTTCGATAAACGACACAGAAGACGAATTAAATCCCACGCAGAAAATATTAGAGAAATCTGCAATCTTCTGTCGGTTTCTAAGCAACCAGTCCTTAGTAAATTGCGAATGGCAATGGCAATTCCAATTGTTTCTGGACAAGTAAATCTGAAATTTCGGCGAAACGTCGATCAGGTTCATTAAACCGGAAGGTAATTCGGTTAACCGGTTTCCGTCCAACCACAAAAACTTGACGTTCGACAAAAAAAAATAATCAGAAATGTTACTTATTGAATTATTAGTCAGACGCAAATGGGTGACGTTTTTCCACGTCACACAATCGACATTCGACAACTCTTGTATATAATTATTACTCAAGTCGACAATCGTCGCATTGGGGACGAGAACTTTGGGAATCCTCCGGAGAATTTTATGAAATCCGCCGATTCTCCTTCCGGAACAATTGACCATCACGTGAAATTGTTGGGCAGAACAATCGCATTCTATCGGACAATAATTTCCTATGAGTACGAGAGATGTATTATCCAGCAAATTTCTTTCTTCTCCGAAACATTTCGTCTTCTCTATATTTGGAAATATTCTCTTTGCCACTTCCATATTTGACTTAAAGACAGAAACGAATTGCTGCAGTTCGTCGTCACAATTAATTTCGTTATTACTTAAATGATAAGTCGGCATTTGAAATCCATATTTCCACTCATCCAAATAAATTGTTCGGATTTTACAGTCAAACAGAAAAGTTATCATGCGATTTGGTGTGTAAATTGGCAATTTGACGGTTTCAAAATGATTATGTGAGAATCTGACGTACCTCAAGTTGTATTCTGTCCAATTTATCACCGGCCATTGTGTCAAACCTGCATTATTTAAATTCAGATGAGTTAGATGCTTGCTGCTGCCAAAAGGATGCTCACCGATAATTTCAGTCAGATTGTTGCCAGATAGATCGAGATGCGTTAAATTAGTCAACGGGAGAAAGATGTTATCGTATAAACAAGTTAGGCGATTTCTTGATAAACGGAGTCTTTGCAATGACGACAAATTCTGAAAAACGTCTTCGGGAAGATTTTCTAACCGGTTTTCCTCCAAACGTAACTCTCGCAGTTCAGAAAGTCCGTGAAAAATTCCTGTCGGAAGTGTCGATATTTTATTAAACGAGCAGAAAAATTGTGCAAGTCGTTTGTTATTTCTCAGAAGATTTGGCAGGAGACGTTCAATTCGGTTGGAATCTATATAGAGGATTTTCAAATTAATCAAGTCAGAAAATACATCTTCTTCGAGTGAAGAAATAGAACAACCCCATCCAGAAAAATGAGTCAAGTTGTGCATTTTCTTAAAGAATCCGGACGGAATTTCTGATAATTTACGATTTCCATGAATAGAAAATATCCTTAAATTAGAAAGACCTTTTATCATGTCACTTGGTAAATACTTTATTTGATTCGATCCTAAATCCAAAAATTGGAGTTTGGTGAGATTTCGAAAGACAAGTGGATGAATCGATTCAATTTTATTGTCATTTAAATCAAGTTTTGTCAAATTTTGAAGATTATAAAATATATCTTCTGGTAAAGCTTTTAACTCTCCATCCACGATGTATAATTCGGAGAGATTAATTAACTCTCGAAAAGGTTTGTTCGAAAATAAACTGAAGTTATACCATTTGATTCTCAATGAAGTCAGCGATGGAACATTGTGAAATGTTACATTTAAAAGTTCCGAAGTCTTCACGTGTCGTATTACGACAGATCGCAGAGAGTACATGTCATTAAACGAAGCGCTCTCGAAGTTTCTTTTATGCGAGAAATGGTTATATATCTGGACGTGTTCGATTCCATATCCGAAAGTGAAGATTCCAAAGTCAATCCCCGACAGAAAACAATATGTAAATTTTATTTCTTGAACATTTTTCACGTCTAAACATCGCATCAAATCAGAGTCAATTGTTTCCTCTCCGCACTCTATGGATAAGATTTGATTGAATATTTCAACGCGGGAAAAGTTCTTTGATTCGTGGCAGCTGTTTGCCAATGACGTACAAGAAACATTTCTCCAATGTTGCCAAAACTCTTGACAGGAATTAACCACTAAAAATAGGAATTGCGAAAAGATAACCCACCTCATCTCGTCCAAATGAGTCTTGCAATTACATCGACAGACGAATCTCAGAAGTACGATCCTCAGAAATGAATTAACAATAAAACACAATTCCGAACTGGCAATAGTCGATATCTTTTCTGCTGCTACGTCGACAACACGATCAATTATGACGTCGGTGACATTGAATCGACATTTCCTACAGAAATATGATGTATACAGTTTTTTATTTCTTGCAATTTATTGGTTATTTTTTTCTGCAGCTTAAAAGAAAATCAAGATATTTTTATGTCAGACAGAAAAAAAATAATTAAAAGGCACAGAAATGATTTTTTGTGTGAATGAAACTGCGACCATTTCTAACATTTAAAGCATTTAATCGAGTTAATAAAAGTACACGATAATTGCGCAACTGTGGCAAATAATTTATAAATATTTAATAAGAATAAATTAATCTTTCCAGGAATAAACTTAAATTAAATCAGGCAGTTTGCATCCGAAAATAATTACCTTTAAACGAGAACTTAAAAAGGAAGTATTTTCAATTTACATAAAGCGAAATTCCAAGAAATAAACATTAAAAATGAAAGTCAAACACATTAAACCACGGGGAAATTATTATAGTAATTACGGTCGTTTCGGCTTTTATTTATTAATTAGTTTTCTGTATTTAATTACTTCATTAATATCTGGCATTGATATTAATACGTACAATCACTTGGAAAAGTTTAGGATAATTTAAATCCATCGCCCAACCCGCCGACCTTTAAATGACAAGAACTGGGTAAAATAAAGTATTATAATAAAACTAAATAGCGAGATATTTAGGTGATTTTTTGCTTTGTCTTTATGTGAAAACATGAATTTCTATCTAAAGCGTCAAATAGATACTACTTCCTAATATCCTACTTTTTTCCTACTTAAATGTACTGTACGATTTTTAAAACGTTTAAAACAACATGAATTAAATTGAGAAGTATTGTCTAATTGTTGGTAATAACGCTTGAAATGTAGTGCAATTATGGGAATTTTATCACAGGTAGCGTTGTGTTTCCAAGTTCTTTCGACTGGATTTGGAAAATTGTGATTATTTAACGAGACAGAAGTGGCGATATCTTCAAATATTTCCTTGTGGCATCAACGGCAGATCGTTTGCAAGATGACGATGCAATCTTTCAACGAAATGCAGTTTAAAGTCACGGGTGCAAAAATGACAAGAAATGGATTATATCTTAAAATATAAAATCTTCGGATTGACCCGGAAACACCAGACTTGTCTTAATTTGAAAAAGAATGATGGCGAGAATTTAACCCGAGCAATAAAATAGATTTACAAGAAAAATGTACAAAAATTGGATCAAAAATTAAACTAAAACAATGAAAATCATTTATTGATTAGTACGTTAAAAAGAATTATTCATTAACTAGCAAATAAGCCCGGCGTTGCTCGGGCAAAGAGTAACGATTACGAAGATTAAGGTTATATATTATATTAGCCAATCTTACTCGATTTCACAGAATGCAAGAATTAGTCCTCATGTTTCAAGACAATTTGAGAACTTTGAGATAGATCTAAAAATATCTTCGATTTCCCGCAAAAAACGAAAAAGAAAAATCAAATCTGCGCCTGTTAATCTTGCACGCCGCTTTCTCTTAACACTTTCATTGATAACACTTCCCCCTCGCGGAGGGAATTACGAAAAATCCTTTCTTAGTGTCCGTTCTCTGTTAAACGCAACCAAAAACGCAAAAAAGCGCATGTAAAATAGTACAGTAGAAGCGGGTTCTCCAGGGTAAACGTGGATCTTCTCCCTTTCCCCAGTGGGGGTGGGGGAAAATTTCGAAAAATCTCTTCTTAGTGTACGTTCTCGTGACGTACCCTAACTGTACCAAATTTCAACTTTTAACTCCTAACTGTTTGGGCTCCGCTCTTATTATTATTATTATTTTGGGTTTACTGTGTAGTGAGTTATACTCGGTACACACCGGTGGCTGTGTACTATGCCGGATCAGAGTCAAAGCGTAGCAACCAGGAACAAAAATTAAATAAGTTTGTCAGTGTCTGTATTCAGAAATTTTCTAACAATGTGGCATATATTCAATATAGTGGCCTTCTGTAGTGTGATGTATGTATTTATATTTAATTGTAATGTTCCCAGGCTTTTCTGTAGCGTGTGTGGTATCACACCTGTACAGGAGAGAACGACAGGTACAATAAGCACCCTATCCATCCTCCGCAGATGCCTTATTTCCTGGGCGAGTTCTGTGTACTTGCTAATTTTTTCAGTGCACGTGTTTTGTACATTGTGAGTGTTTGGAATGGCTATGTCTATAATGTATGTGATTTTATTGTGTTTGTCAAAGAGTGTGATGTCTGGTTCGTTGTGGTAAATTGTTTTATCTGTGATTATGGTTCTGTCGTAGTACATTTTGTGCGTGTTGTTTTTCAATACTGTCTGTGGAATATACTTGTAGTATGGTTCGTGGATGTCTACCAAGTTGTGTTTCTTTGCAAGCTTTTGGTGTATTATATTTGCTACTTGATATGAATATGAAATAGATATAAAATGTATTTGTTTTATATTTGTGATGCAAAGGAAATAGTCAATAAAAAGGAAATGTAAAATTTATTTAGTTAAACCGTCAAGAAAAGAAGTTACGTAAATGTCGATTCGGCGACACCGGACTTTGACATCGTCGCTCGAAAGGAATACAAGGAAAAACAAAATTTTTGAAAAAAAAAGGATATTACAAAAGGAGATATTTAAAACATAAGACCCAATAAAGTAATACGAAGCGAGTATGTAAAGAATGGGACCGACAAAGCGCGATCTTAGTCGAGAGGATGGTGTCGAATTGCGGGAAGACCTTTCTCGCCACCTAATCTGGTCTCAATTTTTACTTTTAAACAGGTAAGAGACAAATATTTTTCTGTTTTTTCAAGTCACCACTCACATACTCGTGACCTTAGACCATCCCGGCGAAAGGGAATTGTGAGAATCCAGACTCTTTTATGAGAATTTGGAATAATAATAATTCGAATAGAATTTTTTCTTTATTACTTCCGTTATTTCTCACGTTACGACGCAATTCAATGACCTTCTTGATGGACGAAGTCGTCCGAGTCGACCGCGGAAGCTCCCCGGAAACCTGCGATGTGCGGATTAATTACAAAAGGTCACCTACAAAGGTCGACCGTACGGTGAGAAACATTACTAAAAATGGTCAGTCATCTCCCCAGATGATGACGAATTTAACACTTATTGGTCAAGAGATGTCTCTGATGTCGTCACCCATGATGGGGGAGACGTTCATAAATCGGGAGAACTGTCAAAATCCCAGATTTCTCCCACGCTAAAAGGGTATAAAAGGGGAACGATCCAACACCTCGACAGCGATCGTCGGGGAAGAGACAACGAAACGAACTCTTTAGTCTTTTCCACCTCAGGATCTACGAAGCTCATAATCGCCGCTCCATGCATGGTAAAAGACTTAGAATATTTCCCATTCTCTCTATATACGCCGAAATTACTCCTCGAAGAGGTTAATCGAAGAACCTTCCGAGCGAACTTCACCAGGAAGAAATCTACAGTTAAAGAGCGACGGAGCAAACACCTTACGGACATAGCCGAGCGGACAGAAGGGGACATCGGTTCCATACCGCCATCGCTCCACATCGCCTTTCAAGGACACTTCGATTAGAGGACGACGATCCCAAAGCGACCTCACTACATCTACTATAGCCATTCTCTGACAGCCAAGCCGGTAAGTGGGGAGAAGCTCTCCGCTTCGACCCCCTCGGTTGCGCAGAGAATAAAACTCCCCTCCATAATCGGCAAACTTACATATTCCTCCGAATGGAAGTTTTCTCAGTTTAATCATATTATAACAAAATATAAAATATTTCTTGCGATTCTTGATTATTTTTTCAAACCTAATAGAAAATAAAAATGCGCTCGTTTCATACATAAAAAGACAGCAAAAAGTAATTAAAAGGCACAGAAATGCTTTCCTGTGTGAATGAAACTCTGACCACTTGTAATATTTAAAGCATTTAATTAATGAAGTTAATTAAAGTACAAGATAAATACCAAACTCTGGAAAATAATTTACGAATATTTAAGTGATAAGAATAAGTTTATCTTTGCAGCAATAAACTTAAATCATTCAGTTTGCATCCGAAAACGATTACCTTTAAACGAGAACTTAAAAAGGAAGTATTTTGAATATATATAAAGCGAAATTAAAAGAAATAAACTTCAAAAACGAAAGTCAAACACTTCAAATTGTGCGGAAATGGTTATAGTGATTACGGTCGTTTGCGGCTTTTATATATTAACTAGCTGCAAGGACCCGCTTCGCTGGGTTTTTATTTGTGGGCAAAAATTAACGATAGTGAAGATTAAGATAATTACATTATAGCCAATCTTACCCGTTTTCACAGAATGCAAGAATTAGGTCCCCCGTTTCCAGACTAATTAGAGACCTGGTCCGGTTAGTCAAACGAACTATTTTCAACGTTTCTGTAACGTTTACAATCGTTCTATAATCGAACAAACATTCGAATTTTATGTTCGTATTTAATTTGAACGAATTCGAACAAAACATTCGAAATAGAATATTCGAAATAAAAAACCACTTTCAACCACTTTCATCCACTTTCAGCCCCATATCTCCCGCACCCTTACAGCTATCTAGACGCAACCCCCTAGTGCACGAATGGAGACTTGGGGCTACTATTACATAAAAACACCATTCACGTGCGATGTGTAGTTTTGGCGAAAAAGTGAAATATAGGGACATACATGTCCATTTTTATATATATAAATAGATATAGATATAGATACAGTATAGATATAGATTAGTTTTCTATATTTAATTACTTTATTAATCCTTCCCATTGATATTAATATGTACTGTACATCACTCTTTTCATTTAACAATAAAGTCGCGCCGGTTATTTATTTAACTCTTTTCAGTAAGATATTATTTGAATTGTAATTACGTGACTTCCGGTTTGTATCGGACTTTTTGATGACGTTTCCTGCTTAAGCTCATTTTCTTCTCGTTGGTTTGCTGGATTAATTAAGCACGAGTCGAAATAGTTCTGATGTAGGTTCGGTAAAAGCACACCTCCACTAAAAACAGTTTATTTACAAAATATAGGGGAGACCGGGGCAGGATCGGCATGTTAAGCTTTACTTAAATTTTGTGTAATAAATACTGCTGTAAACTGAAGAAAAAGCTTTGCATATTGTCTATTGGAATGTTACCTTACTATAGAACTGGTTAAAATCAGTTTGGAAATAAAAATAATTAAAATAATTACAACTTTACAAGAAGAGAGAAATTGACGAAGTTGCCCCGGGTATAGGGGCAAGATCGGCAACTTCTCTCTTTTTGTAAAGTTGTAATTATTTTAATTATTTTTATTAAAGTTGCCCCTGGTATAGGGG